TCCCTATGGTGTGTTAAACTCTTCAAATGCTTGTACTCTTGATCTTAGTCACTGTTTAAGGGAATACAAAGCATTACTTCACTAATCTTTTCTTGTAATTCAGTCTTCCAGCTTTCATTTTATTCTCTTCTGAATTCTCTCAAAAACACCCTTCTTTTTTTCTTTTCTTTTTTTTTTTTTTCCCTTCCCCCCTCATTCTGGGATATGTTTAAATGTACATAATGTGATAAGCATAGTGCCGACAGAGGGTACTTTTTCTGCATTTTTGGACTACGGGGCTTTGCTTATGCAGTCAAATCTGTAGTTTTTTTCTTTTTTTGCTGTTATAGTGCATTGAAAATTGTGTACAATCTTTCCCACTCTTGCTTTTCAGACTAGCTCCACATCACTGCACTCCTGTCTTTCTCATCTGCTGTAGTTCTGGATTATTTTTCTCCAGATGGATTGCATGTATTCTAAAGGTTGCTTTTTTCATCTTTCTTGCACATGTATTTTTAGCTTCCAAAAACCTTTCCCCCACGTTTCAAATCTATCCAGTCTAGCAGGATTTGCTAACTAATTTGCTGTTTTCCCCTTTCCCACATCATGTTTAAAGATGTTAAAAATGTCTCATTTCTGACTGCTTTGCACTCCTAGCTTTCTGCGTATGTCACAGGGTCACAACTAGACCAGTCTGAATTTGGTTAAAAACCCTTCCTGCGGGATGATGTTGAGTATTTCTTCAACATTCTGGTGTGCTGTTGGTCATCTTTGTGCAGTCTGTAGGATCAAACTTGGAAAACATGTAGCTGTTAATCTGGTAAATATTATTCCTTCATCCAGTTGCAGAAATTAGTAGATCAACTACAGGTATTTCTGTCTTGAGTTTTGCAATACTTTTCAAGACATGTAAAATGAAAACAGAGCTTTAAGTGGGAAACTTTATAATATTCTTAGCACACTGTCTTTGCAGTGGCTGACGTATTCCTGTTCAGTTGATTAAAAACCTGTTTGCAGCTTGGCCAGCATGCAGTAGAAAAAGATTTAGGAAACCTGGTGAAACTGTATTCTTCAATCTCTGATTTAATGTGAACAGTAGAGAGAATCAGAAGGCATCTCTGTTGCCTCTGTGCCAACAGCTTGTAATACGAAGCAATTGTTACTCAACTTCTTAATTACAAATAAGTCATAGCCATGTTTTGAAGCGATGCTTTGTGTATATTTTAATTTCACATTACTCACAAAACTCCCAAGAGAGAAATTAAAGAGAAATGCTACATCACATTCTATGAAAATTCTTGTAAGTTGTCTCACAGTCGTTCCTTCCTTCCTTGATGCCTTTTGATTCACAATCAATGAACTGGGAGAGTAGGGCTTGGCAGTATGACCTGTAAGTCACTGCAAAAGCATGGCAGCCTGTTGAGGAGTGAAATACAGTGATTATTTCTGCTTCCGGTTAACCCCTCTTCCACATCCTTGGCTAGCAGTCAGTGGAGTGCAGGTTTCTATTCCTCAGAGAGTTTTCTCCATCTTACCATTGAAATAGAGATTTTGAAGATGCAATTAATTAGTTTTGTTACATGAAACTCTAATACATTACATGGCACCTAGAAATCCACTGGTTGCTGGTGTAATTTTCAGAATTGGAGAGAAATGTTATCTATGAGAACTACAGAGAGAACTACAGAACTACTTTAAGGAGCAGCTTGGTTATACAAGTATGCATTGTCTATATACATCTTGCTCTTAATATTTCGGAGGGTTTGGGTAGAGTTCTACAGGTCAGGGCTGACATGATTTGACAGTTATGAATTGTGTTCAGAAATGGAGTAGAAGTAGTGAATTGTCATCAGATATGATAGTCATGAGCTAGACCTTCATGTTCTTTTTATTCATTCCCCTGAGACTGATCTGTTTAGCATTTCAGATGGAAACCTGGCTTTGCTAAAGAACAAGTTTGTTTTTCAGACCGAGGCTTAAAAAGCTCTCTGGTAGTGTTGACTTTTAACAAGAGTAGAATGCACAAGCTTCATTTTTTGTTTTGTGGTTTGGCTTTTTTGCAAACCTAGCTAACATCTCTGAAATTTATCTGTAGCTGGAGAGTACAAAGGAGGAGTTGTTTTTAGCAGATCTCTAGCTTGGGGATGGTACAAGTAGCAGTGATAGTGGGAATTGTCTGGAAATATTTGAGTTTCAGAGATGGGAAGTTTGGAGAAAAGACTCCAAATATGGAGTAAGAATAAGTTTTGCAGCCTATTTTGAAAACATAAGTGGAGTTGATCTGCAAATAAAGAGGATCTGTTTTCAGGCTGCTTTTGGTCTAGAATGGTTTCTGAATTCTGTATGATTCCAAGAGCATATGGAGGTTAAAGAACTTGGAAGAACATGAAATTAGAAACTTGATCAGAGCTGAAGTTTTTTAGAAATGTAGAAGAGTAAGAATCATATTGCTCTGGATCTGTTAGCAGTGGATATTAGTGAGAAAGGTGGCCAGAAGGTAGTTTTATTTCTGGCAGTCACAAATTCTGATGCCCTTGCAACGTTTAATGTTTTTCATTTTACCCAGAGGAAGCTAACTCTGCAATATCAGAAAAACATAATTACTGTAATCTGAATTAAAATAAAAGTTGGAAAGGAGCTTTTAAGCTGAGGATACAGAAAGTGAGGTCAGTGATAGAAAAATTTGATTGATATGAAGCTGAAGAGCAAATCATGCAATTTGTGGGGATAAGGTGGCTTAACCAAGTGCTATCTCAAATATCGCATTGTGCTTTGAATCTGGAAGGAAATTCAGGCTGTGGAGATCCAGAATTAGCTCTTGACAAGACTACTGGTATTTGGGAAACATCCTGATAAAGTGGTCAGTCAGTAGCCTGGATGGAACAGAATACGCGTACACTTCCATTGTAAACACATGGAGAATTTCAAATACTGCAGGAAGAAGGGCCTGAAGTAGGAAGGCACAAAGAGTTTTAGCACAGAGCCAAGCTTTTTTTCAGCATGTTAACTCTTAACAAGGACAATGCACAGAATATGTGAGAAGATGCACAATTTTATGGAGTGCTGTTGTCTTCTGAGCTTCATGCAAGTGTCAGTAGAATGTATGCAGTGTGGCCTGCAAAGGTCACTGCCAGGCCTCGTTGACTCACTGGATGAGCCATGAATGCCCTTGCAACCATAAGCGAAGGGGCTTTAAGCCTGAAAGCAAATGGCTGTGCACGTTTGCTTCACTAGGGTGC